TAACACTCTGATTGCTGCATACCACATCGTCGAATATTATAATAGAATTGGGTTTTATTTCACTTGGAGGAACGACATCGTTGCCATCTTGATACTCATAGTATCCAATCTCTTTGATGGGTTCCAGTAGCTGTTTCAGATACTCATATTTCGGTTGGTATAGGGATTTTGAGTAAACGTATACATTTTCAAACCTCAAACCATTTGGGTGCGCCAATAAACTTATTATGACGTTAGTTTTACCAGACCCAGAAACGCCAACAACGAGTCCTCGCTTAGAACAGTCTCCAAAAAGTGGGCCGTGTTTCTTAAACCTACTTAATGAAATATTATCATCGTGATTGGTTACCGGTAGCGAAATGTTCTGTTTCTCGATCCTCATTCTGAAGGAAAATTGTATGTACTGTACGTTAACGTAGTACGTAAAGTATTTATAAGGTATAAAACTATCAATTAAATTCAGTTGTATTGAAGTGTCACGCCAGAGCATATATAAATGCTTGTGCCCAACCTATCCGCAGTTAATCGACAGATAAAGCGAGTAAAGAGAGGTTCTGGGATTCTTAATACGCTTATAAATAAACTTCCGATAGAACTACACATTCCTGGTTACAACTTTTGTGGACCAGGTACCAAGCTTGAAAAAAGGCTTGCTAGGGGTGATACTGGCATTAATCCTTTGGATAACGCATGCCTCGCTCATGACTTATCATACAGTGAGAGCTCTAATATAGAAGATCGTCATAAGGCAGACCGCATCCTTGAACAACGTGCCTGGGAGAGGGTTAAATCTAAGGACGCCAGTTTCGCGGAAAAGACTGCAGCGTGGGCTGTTGCCAATGCAATGAAAGTCAAAACTAAGCTAGGAATGGGATTACAGAAGAAGAAGAAGAAGAAATTTGTGAAACGTAAACGAGGTCAGGCTCTAAATTTTAACCAAGCAGTACAAAAAGCTCCACAGGGTATTCGGGGTAAACCATCTAGTAGTAGTAACCTCGGTGAAGTAGTAAAGCAAGCTCTATCATCAATAGGAACGAAAAGGATAACTCCCAAAACTGGTGGATTTCTTCCTCTCATTCCTCTATTTGCCGCATTAGGTGCTCTTGGAAGTATAGGCGGTGGAGCTGCTGAAATAGCGAAAGCTGTGAACGATGCGAAAGCCGCAAAGGAAAAAATGGAGGAGGAAAAAAGACATAATCTGGTCATGGAACAGGCTGCTCTTGGAAAAGGCTTATATCTGCGTCCTTATAGGAAAGGAATGGGGCTTTATTTACCATCAAAAAACTCCCAATAAAGCTACCTCGTCGTGCACTGACTAATGTAGATTTAATTAAATTTGCTAAAAAGTTACGTATTCCACATTTCCGAGGAGTGTACATGCAGGATGCCCTACCAGTAAAGATAAGAAGAAACGAATGTGGTATAGTTAATTTGGATATTTCGTCTGGACCAGGCACTCACTGGACGGCATACGTAAAGAAAAACAAGACGATATTATACTTTGATAGTTATGGTAATCTGAGACCTCCGAATGCAGTAACAAAATATTTTTATAGCGATGGTAGCTTAAATACAATCAAATATAATCATGATAAATTCCAACGAGATAATGCAATAAACTGTGGACACCTATGTTTAAAATTTTTATATAATGTATGTAATTGAGGAAAATCTGTTTATTATAAATAAAGTTTTAACTGTTCAACATGTCTCTGACTTTGACTTTATCTGGAAATACGTCTATTTTAAGTGCAGATTATAACCCACCAATATACTTAGATGATGACGCTGAATATGTGGTTGGTCTATCAGATTTTGAAACCTTCAACGTAATTCCAAACATCGATGAAACAAACAATAAGTTTACGTATGGTAATACGACACTAACAATTCCAGTTGGAGCTTATGAAATTACCGATATCAATAATTACCTACAACAACAAATATCAACTGCCAATATTAACATTAGAGCCAATCGAAATACATCAACTGTCAGCATTGATACTAATGTTGACATAGATTTTACAAATAAGAAATCCATAGGACGTCTGTTGGGTTTCAAAAAAAGAATTATTAAAGCTAATACACTGAACGAGTCTGATTTTCCTGTCCAAATAATTAAAGTCAATGCTATATGCATAGATTGTAACATAGCGGCAGGTTCATATTTCAACGAAAAACCTGTTCACATTATTCATCAGTTTTTTCCAACCGTGGGACCAGGATATAAAATAGTGGAATCACCTCTGAACATCTTGTACTTCCCCGTAACCGTTAAGACGATCAACAACTTGACTGTTAAAATACTCGATCAGGACGGAAATCTTATAAATTTTCGCGAGGAAACTATCTCAGTCAGATTAAATCTTCGAAAGCTCTAGAGATGGTAGTTCGCTACAATACAAAATGTTGTCGACCAAATATTACGACGAAACGCAGTTATAAAAGAAGATCCAAAAACCAATCAGCCGTTAGTCCGAAGAAGAACGTTATTAAAGTAACACCGGAAAACAAGAGATTCCTGAAGTCTCTCGGTTTTGAAGTTCTCATATAATGGATATACTAGATGTTATGCAGCAACCTCTCATCGACAATTCCATCGTCGACTTGGAGTATCACAATTACCAACCTTTCGTGACCTCTAAATTGGGCTACAATGATGAAGTAAGGATATCACTTCAGGAATTGGACATCTATACTTTACCTTGTGAAAGTATGCTATACTTGGAAGGAAATTTGACTACAGAGGATGGAAAATCGGTTACCAAATTAAAACTTATAAATAACGCTTTCAGTTTCCTCTTCAGGGAAATTCGATATGAAATGAATGGAGTAATCATCGATTCCGTTAGAAACGTAGGACTAACGTCAACGTTGAAGGGGTATCTATCGTACAATGAAAGCGAGAGCGTTAAACTTCAGAATTCTGGATGGTTTCCCAAACAAAGCACACTCGAAGGCGACAAGTTTAATGTATGCATTCCTCTTAAAATGCTACTGGGCTTTTTCGAAGACTATAGAAAAATTATACTAAATATGAAGCAGGAACTGGTTCTGATTCGAAGTAGCAATGATCTAGATGCAGTAACGGCTATCGATGAGACTGAAAAACCTAAAATTAACATTGAAAAAATCTATTGGAGAGTACCTCACGTTTCCGTAGGAATCCCCCAACAACTGGCCCTGACTAAAATTTTAGATAAAAATGTGGAGATATTGGTTCCATTTAGAAGTTGGGAACTTGTAGAGTACCCTTCCCTTTCACAAACTACAAGACACACTTGGCCCGTGAAAACCACCACCAAGTTGGAGACGCCTCGTCATATTGTTGTCGCCTTTCAGACAGATAAGAAAAATAAGGTCACCTCAAATATGAGCAAATTTGAGGACTGTGGTCTTACAAATATAAGAGTATTTTTAAATTCGGAAAGATATCCATATCACGACCTATTCCTTGACTTTAATAACAACAAATTCGCCACATTATACGAAATGTTTGCCAGCTTCCGAAAATCGTTTTATGAATTAGAAAACGAGCCCATATTTACTCCAAAAGAGTTTAAATCCATTGCTCCAGTAACTCATATTGATTGCTCCCATCAAAAAGAAACCATTCAATCAGGAGCTGTCATTTTACGAATAGAATGGGAAACGTCAAGTAATGTTCCAAGTGACACCACAGCATATTGTTTAATTTTACATGATCGTTTGTTCCGATATGACCCCTTAACGAAAATTGTCAGACAGGTCTAAGCTATATAATTAATGCCACTAATTTTGTATGTGCAGGGGTTTAAGATAGAACAAAATAAATTTATTCTGAAAGAATTGGCGGTTTACAATGGCACTAAAACGGCTCACTATATTTTTAAACCGCCATTTTCTAGACAGCTTCTGCCGCCTGATTTAGAAAAACAAGTAACATGGTTGACAAATAATTATCACTGTGGAACGAAGGACATGTACCGTTTCACAATTGTACCAATATTATCCGAGAACTTACAAGAAAAGAAGACATTGTCTATGTGAAGGGGCGGGAGAAAGCCACATATATTAGAGAATATTCATCAACTCCGGTATACGAGCTGGAAGAACATCCATCACTTCAACTTGCAGAGCCCCGATGTTTTTATCATAAGAAATCAAAATGTATGTGTTCATTAACGAATGTATATTACCTTTATGAAAACTTTTATATTTCCTAAATTTTTCTAAAATAAAAACGATAAATGTATAATGTCTTTTATTAAAAAATTAATACATCGGAAATATGCTCATCATTACTTATTTTATGAAGGTAGACTATATAAACTAGTTTTAACTTGTAACATTCTTAAAGTATGTGACGATTATTACATTTGAAATAAAGCTACAAAAATACATTTCAAGATAACTGTTCAATTTTTAGCAAAAACATTAAAGCGTTGAATAATGCCCATATGGTAAAGTATCCGTGCTATCTTCTTTCAAAATTCTTTTGTCATCAAATGGGCTTAAAGCAAGTTTAATTTGTTTCACCGAATAAATTTCATGTAAATAAGATCTAATTAATCTCTGAGTTCTATAGACCTCCTTAAAGTCTTTTAAACATGTCAAGTAGTCTTCAAATTGAATATGCTTCTTTACAATATTTTTTTTTAATCCTTTAATTTTTTTAACGCTACAGATTTCTCCACATTTAATGCTATACATTTTTGATCGCAAGCCAACGAATTCAGTCATAATGGTACCATTATTTTCGTCCTTCATTAAACCAACCACTTTTTTATTTTTTTGTTCAATCGAATAGACATTATTTTGTTTATAGTCACTTGTATCGAATTTTTCAGAATTTTCCTTAATAATTGAATAAAAATCATCACAATGTACATCATATATCAAACTATCCGTGTCGGTATATAGTAATTTACAGTTTTCTATATTAAATTTTCTTAACATAAAGTTGTAGTGAAAGTCGTACACGCATGTTTTAGAAATGTCCAGAATGCACATACCTACGTACAGAGGCTTATTGAATACTATTTCAGTTTTATTAAGTTCTACCGCTACCAAATTTTCATCAAAAATCGAACTACTATGAAAAGTGGGACTCGATATATAATTCTTAGCCCCGTATCTTCCTTCCCAATTTGAAAATAATTTAACAATGCGATGCTTCCGAATATTTTCCATTGTTTTACCGAACACAGCATTTAAAATCAACTTGAACAAATTCTTTTCAAATTCATTAGCTGCTTTTGCTCTAAGCGATGTATTTAAGTCTACATACTCCTTTAACCAAGCAGATTGTTTAAACTGAAGAATTTTATGAATTTTTTTTATATGTAAGCCACAATCGAGGCACTGTTTCAAATTTCTATAGTGCATTATATAATGTTCCTTATCAAATAAAGTTGTCATTAATTTTGGTAATTTTGAATTTGGTGGAATTCTATGTTCGGGGCACAAAGGTAAGTCTCTATGCAAATCGTGAAGATTATTTGGATAACCTAAATCAACCTCCAATATGTAACCAATATTTGACTCATCAGCTACTAAACGTACATCAAAATTTTCAACGTCTTCAACCCATTGAAATTCCCCATATGGTAAATATTGCGACATTGCCCAAGCATAAAGTCCATTTACATCAAAATATAGTAAATAATTAGAAGGATTGTTTGGATCGTAGTTAGGCATATATTTATTGTTAGCTTTTGCATATCTATTACAACATTGACTTACTCCCCCACGAATTGCTCTTTCTAAAAACAATAACATGTCGACGTCTTGCAAGTATTCTAATTTAATATTTGTATGTTTCAACATACAGTCCCAAGTATATCCCGGAAGCGTATAGTAATGAGCGGGATCTAATCCATACGTATTTAGACATCTTTCTCGAAAATTTTCAAAAATATCTGCTAATAGCAAAACGTCAGTTTTTAAATATAATTGAGTATACTCTTGAAGATTACCAATTTTAAAAACACTCCACACCTTTTGAGCGTGATTGTAGTCATCTTCTGAAATATCTTCATCATTTAACTTGTTATAAAAATCAGTCGAACTAGGAAGTGATGTTTCTTTCAAAACTTGCATGGAATTTATGTAATCATATGGAAATGTTCCCTTTCGAGTAATTAAGTTAAAAGATTCACCATTTAAATGGGAAAATTCAGTTTTTAATATTTTTAAATCTTCTTTCCGTAAAATAGATGCTAATTTATCTAACGATGATGTTAGAAATCTAAATGAATCTATAAACCTAAATTTTATCGAAGAATTTGGAATATGTTTGGTAAACGAAATGTATTGTTCTTTATTCTTCGCCAACAGCGTTATACGACCAGGACATAGCTGAGCTACATCTTTAATCATCACGTGACTGTCATACCCCGTCAAATTGTGAAAAACTACGGGAACAATGAAGGTGTTTTTATAATTCAAGTTGCAATTGGAGTGACACCAGCCCCTAAATTTGCCGTCGAGATGTGAGTGGTCA